TATATATATATATATATATATATATATATATATATACTAAAATAAACTACTAATTACTTGTACTACTATCCCTACTTTGCAGTTTTTCACTTATCGCGGGGCTTCAGGGTACGGACCCCCCGCGATAAACGAGGGACTACTGTAAAAGAAAAATCAACACATTCATCAACTTCAACCGGCAGAATACTGATTCAGACAAATAACTGGGACTGTGCTTTAATTTTGCAGTTGAATTGATCAAATTTGGACTTGATTTCCTAACATTACGTTTACTGACAGTTTTATATGCACAGCCTAGAACACGATTTTAAAAGTTGCACTGGCTGCAGTAAACTACTTTTCAAAACTTGGCCACTCAAAATGAGGCTACGTGCCCTTTTTGGTTACAACTCAGATTTTAGCAAGACCGCAACTGAAAATGTGCCAATTTTCTCACAATTTTGAGTTGCCTACTAGTCCCCAAAAGTTGCAGCCCAGTGACTCCCTTAACGTGTGTAGCTCTGCTGGTTCGGTTGCAGCTCATTGAAAATCTGAATTCCTGTACACAAATCAATGTTAATTTTTTTGTACCCACATATACAGTATCTCACTAAAGTTAGTACATCTCTCACATTTTTGTAAATATTATTTATGGAACAACGCTGAAGATATGACACTGATACAATGTAAAGTTGCTTGTATGAGAGTGTAAATTTACTGTCCCCTCAAAATAACACACTGCCTTTAATGTCTAAACCGCTGGTGACAAAAGTGAGTACACCCCTAAGTGAAAATGCCCAAATTGTTCTCAATCAGCCATTTTACCTCCCCAGTGTCATATAACTTGTTAATGTTACAAGGTCTCAGGTGTGAATTGGCAGCAGGTGTGTTAAATGTCATGTTCTCGTTCTCACTCTCTCATAATGGTCACTGGAAGTTCAACATGGCACCTCATGTCAAAGAACTGTCTGAGGATCTGATAAAAATAAGTGTTGCTCTGCATAAAGATGACGTAGACTATAAGAAGATTACCAACACCCTGAAACAGCTGCAGTGTGTGTGGTGGTCAAAACCATACAGCTGGACAAGTTCCACTCAGAGCAGGCCTGACCATACTGAAAGAGTTGCATGCACTTGCTCACCATCATATCCAGAGATTGTTTTTTGAAAACTGCTGCCAGCATTGCTGCAGGGGTTGAAGGGGTGGGGGGGTCAGCCTGTCAGTGCTCAGACCATACCGCATCAAATTGGTCTGCATGGCTGTCGACCTAGACGGAAACCTCGTCTAAAGGTGATGCACAAGAAAGCCCACAAACAGTTTGCTGAAGACAGACAGACCAAGGACATGGATTACTGGAACCATGTCCTATGGTCTGATGAGACCAAGATAAACTTGTTTGGTTCAGATGGTGTCAAGAGTGTGTGGCGGCAACCAGGTGAGAAATACAACAACAAGTGTGTCTTGCCTACAGTCAGTCATGATGGTGGGAGTATTATGGTTTGGGGCTGTGTGAGTGCTGCTGGCTGCGGGGAGCTACAGTTTATTGAGGGAACCATAAATGCCGACGTGTACTGTGACATACTGGAGCAGAGCATGATCCCCTGTCTTCAGAAACTGGAGCGCAGGGCAGTGTTCCACAAACACACCTCACTGCCTTGCTAAAGAAACTGGGGTAAAGGTGCTGGTCTGGCCAAGCATGTCTCCAAACCTAAACCTTATTGAGCATCTGTGGGGCATCCTCAAATGGAAGGTGGAAGAGTGCAAGGTCTCGCATCCACCAGCTCCGTGATGTCATCATGGAGTGGTGGAAGAGGATCCTTTAGGCAACCTGTGAAGCTCTAGTGAACTCCATGTCCAAGAGAGTTGAGGCAGTGTTGGAAAATAATGACGGCCACAAAATGTTAACAATTTGGGCATTTTCACTTAGAGCTGTACTAACTTTTGTTGCCAGTGGTTTAGACGTTAATGACTGTGGTTATTTTGAGGGGACAGCAAATTTACACCGTTATATACAAGCTGCACACTGACTACATTCTATCAAAGTATATCTTTAGTGTTGTCCCATGAAAATATGTCAAATATTTACAAAAGTGTGAGGTGTATACTCACTTTTGTGAGATATTGTACATTGTTGCAGAACAGACGCACACCCTACATTGCAACAGTTCTCTCATGATCATAACGTTTTGGCTGATTTCAGGTTGTATTTTGATTTTGATCATGTTTAGTCCAAAAGCTCAGACCAGTTGTTCCTAACTGGGGTCAGTCAGCCCTTTGTAAAAGGTTTCCCAATAAATATTATGAACAGATTCTGATGGGGAGCAGCTCTGGTGAAGTTTAAACTCTTACCGGAAACACGTCTAGATCGATGTCGACAATGACAACAAATCTTTCTGTCTGGTTGTACTGGAGCCAAATGATTTTTACTGAGGGGAGAAAAAAATGGTTCATATATATTTGGATTCTATAATAAAATGGGGTGAACTGGTTCAAGCTTCTCTGCTGCTTTACAGGTGATCATGCTCCACACAAACTGTCAAGCTTAGCATACCAACCTGGGCGGTCTGTTGAAGCTGAAAACTTCCTGCATGACATTACTACTGCTCGCCTGCCCACACAACCTCTCACAGCTTCCATCTGTGAAAACACCCTCACTGCTTTATGGCATGTAGCGAGACATGTCCAGGACACAAGAGGTTGAGATGCTCATCGCTCCACGGCATGTTGTGCCACGTGAGGTGATGGGATTGGAGCCGAGACACCAAACTCAAACTGGATTTTACAGTAAAGGTATTTAAATATTAAGTCTTCAGATGGAGCTGTGCATAGGTTGAATGGAAAAAATAACCCGTCACTTTTTGTCCAGTCAATGGCTAATTCTGCTACTACAAAAAAAAAAAAAAATTGTTGGTGATTTTATTTAGTTAATGTGTATTTCATAATTTATAAGTATAAGTATTTAAAGTATTACAACAAACGCCGTAAGCTTTTTAACGTTTTGTTCTAAGGTGTTTTGCTTTGCAGCCAAACGAGCAGAACCAGTCGTCACAAATTTTAAAGATGGTGCTGATTAAAAACTGCTGATCTACATTTGATTGTCCTCTGTGCCCGCCTGAAGAGTCCCTCCGATAGCAGTTTCCACCAGCTCTAATTGTCCAGCGCTTGACTTCTTGTCTCTCTGTGAAGGCCACGCAAATGGAGGTAATCCCCCCTCTGATAATAAATGGGAGCATCATCGCTTCTTTCTTTTAGTCCCAATGGAAAAGCCTTGTTGCCGGGAAACATTTGGATTTATCTTTTAACCTGCTGCCCACATTGTTGCTTGTTGCAAGGACTGTTACCTCTTGGCATTATTCCTACTGCAGGAATTATT